GTAGTATCTGGGCGTGGGATCAGATGATGGTTAGGAATGGGATGTGCAGTAGGTGGAATGCCGCTCAGGCGTTTGCGTTTCTAAGCGCGGTGTTTTGGTGCGTGAGTTTTGTATTGGGGGTGCTGGTCTGGAGGAGGGGTGGTGGTGGCAAGCGGGGAGGTGTGGGTAGGGTGTGATGATGTGCATGGTAGCTTTGCGATGGATGGTTTGCAAGCTGCTTTTTCTTGCGAGACCTGCGACTGCAATACGTGCTTTGGACATTTGGTTGCTGCATCGTTGTGCGGCTTGGAATCTTGAGGAAGCCGCGGACGGGACCTCGGAACGCGCTGTCGCCTTAGACCAGGCCTAGTATAGTAAGAATCATCATCAACACCGACTGAATTTACGCCTTGTAAACCCTAACATACAACTCTCGTCGCCGTGCAAGTCCGAGCTCCAAATCTGCGCTACATACATGCCCTGCCATCTCGTCTCTGATTCGTTGCTGGTCATCAGGCGTCCAAGGGGTTCGTAGATCCTGCGAAATTCTCCACCCGTCTAGGCTGCCAGCGTCCCCGTCCGGCAGGTTCTTACTTGATTCCTCGGGAAGCGGGATTTCGCACGATGTTTGCCCTAGAGCTGGATCATCAGGCCCCATGGAAGCCTGGAATGTTGTATATGGCTAATGCACTGCACAGGCAGCATGCTGTCTAGTTCTGGCGCCGTCAGATCTAGGTACATGGCGCTCATTGTATAAAGATACTCCATCGTCTGCTCTTCTTGCTCACATCTTCACGGCCGATATTGCATCACATCGCGAAATACTTGCACCATGTTATCACCACTCACTATCGGTCTTGGCTTGCTACCACTGCTCAGCGCAGCGTATCTCGAGGAGCCTCCAACTACTGCGGCTCCAGACACCGTCGCAGACTGCTCATGGTGGCATGTCGCCGCAGAGACCGACACATGCACCAGTATAGGTGCATACTGGGGACTCACAGATGCGCAGTTGACGGAATATGTACGACACGAACGCCACAACACTCTACGCATATACTAACGCCTGAAACAGAACCCAAGTCTGGCTGATGGCTGCAAAGTCGTCCCGAATAACTCTTACTGTATTGAGAGGAACTTGGGCAAGCCTGTACCATCATCTGCCACCAGCACCCTTGTGACTGTAACCAGCACCAGCCAGACGCCTACGCCTACTCCCACGACGCCTTTGGAGATCTGTGAGGAAGAAGCCGGTAGTTACGCGAGATACTGCCCACGTTGTCTTTACCGCTGCGAGAACGCGACACAGAACATGGCACAGTGCTTCTACAGTACTTTCTTCACTATCAATGGCGTTCAGAGTCAATGTTGGCAGCATGGAGGCAACGATTGTGCGAACCAGGCGGCGGCCGTCGTTTGTCCAGACCAATAAGCCATGTCGCGGCAAGGCAATTGTGAAAAGAGGTGGACTAGACCTTCGACAGACATGGTACTGGGTACACGGGTGAAAGCATTTAAGGAGAGAGCTGATGAACGCCAAGAATAACATATCTAGTTCATGTGATCCAAGATCTCAGTCAGATCTATCGGAGATTTGGAGGGTTACCCTGATGGATCTTCTTCGTCATCTTTGTGGGCCGTTGTACAGGCGGCAGGCTATGCACACACAGATTTCACCACAGCGCACAAGTTTCAGCAGACAATATAGATGAAATCCTCGATTTAGCGGCGGTTGAGAACGGATGAGTTATACAAACCTTGGAAGTCCATTGCGGCAATGAGTGACAATGACGACGGTGTCATAAGCGCCAAAATTGACGACTTGCCCACCTCTTCGCATTCGCGATCGCAGTTTTAGCCTTTTAGATCTTGATACATCCGATACCATCAATCAGCGTTGAGGACATTCGCTACCATGCATTAGTACCATGACGCGATGGCAAAACACCAGTGCGCCAAATTGTATATGTTTGGTCACATATACTCGACACCACTTCGCCTAAACACAATGCTTGCACGTTTGCATCAGCCGGCATGCAAATAAAGATACGCGATGTGCTTCCCCGCAATCGACATACTATCCCCCGATGCACGATCTTGCGTTTGACTCCCGAGGAGCTCATCCGGCACCTGACTAGGGAGCTTAACCACCGGCCAAGACAACGACGACCCACCATATATTAAGCTGAAGCACACATTCTTAGCTAGCGCACGATCGCATACTAGAAAGAGCATGTGTGACCTTTTCACCCCGGATCCATCTATGACAAAGGGCCCAACTAGAGCCTCACCCCCGACGTAATAGGCCCGATAGAATATATCAAGCCCACATTTACTGGTGGTTGGCGCGATGATTTTATCCCTTTGCAATCAAAATGGTTGCAGACGAGAGTGTGCGGTGGGCAGCCAAGAAGTGATGGAGGACGAATGCAAGGGCTTTTTAGTGTATTGGGCACGTCTTAGCACGATAGGGACGTTTTGGTACAATGGGGACGTTTTAGTGTTATAGGGACGTTTTTCTTGGTATATAACGTGCCTTGGTCTTGACTCAATTACCTACATCTCCATCAGCTCGTTCTGCGACTTCCTCGATTCTTTCGCATCCAGCAGCATGAAGTACTCATTCACTCTCGCCATTGCGGCTTTGTGTGTTGGAAGCAGTGTCGCAACACCGCTCAACCTAGAAGCCAGACAGGTAACCAACACCACTCCTACTCCAAAGACTCTACTGACATCTGTTCAGCAAGGCAGTGGCGCAGGTCCCTACGCTCCGGGCACTTACAAGACCGAAAGCTCTCTACAAGGCCACACAATCTACTACCCAACCAAGAGCACCGGCTCCGAAAAGCTCCCTGTTCTCGTCTGGGGCAACGGTGCATGCAGCACCGACGGCCGCTCCAACTCGGCTCTCTTGCAGAACATCGCCAGTTACGGTTTCTTGGCTATCGCTGAGGGTGGCCCCAACGGCGGCGGTACCTCCAATGCTCAGACCATGAGACAAGCCATTGACTGGGTCACCCAGAACGCCGGCAAAGGGAACTATGCCAACGTCGATGCGAGCAAGATCATGGCCGCAGGCTTCTCGTGCGGTGGCGTCGAAGCCATCGACAACATCTGGGACAGCCGCGTCGACACCATCGGAATCATCAGCTCGGGTCTGCTGACCAACTACACTGCGGCCAGTAACTGGAGGAAGCCAGTGCTTTTCGTCTTGGGTGGTTCAGGCGACATCGCTTACGGAAACGTAAGTTCTCCTTACCTACCCTATTCTGTTGCGTGCAAGATGAACTAACAACGATTCTAGGGCGAGCGTGACTACAAGAACATGCCTGCTGGTGTTCCGACCTGGAAGGGAAACATTCCCGTCGGCCACGGCGGTACACTCGGCGATGCTAATGGCGGCCGTTTCGGCAAGGCGATCCTTAACTGGATGCTGTGGACTATGAAGGGAAATACACAGGCGGCATCTTACTTTACCAGTGGTTACCAGGCTGATGGATATCAAGTCGAGTCTAAGAGCTTGAACTCGTTGAAGCCGTTCTGAGTGTTGGGACGCTTGAGGTGGAACGCGAAGACGTAGTCGTATAGACCTTGGGAGTGTTACGAAAGAGACCGTATCGGATGCTAGTCGTCCTCACTCGAATTTATTAGAATTTAGCAAGAAATCCAGTGGTATCAACATGCGCTTTCCATAATCAGACCTTTTGACGTTGTCAGCGCTCAACGGCACCGAATTCCTATCCCTACACCCCACTAACCCCTCCGCGTTAGAGCTCCCGTCAGCATTCACCCACCCCACCATGGATACCCCAACAACATCATCGTCTCATCCCAGTACCGTAACACAACACACCAAACCACACCCCATCTCAACACCACCTCCCCACCCAAAATGTCTACCCCCCTCGCCACAGTAGCCATCCTCTCAATCGGGCAAATGGGCCTCGGCATCGCCGCACTCCTCACCTCGCACAACTACCGCATAACAACCAACATCAGCGGCCGCAGCGTCGCCACAAAAGCGCGCGCGGAATCCGCTGGCATACACCTCTACGCCACAGACGAGGAGCTCGTCGCAGATGCAGACTATATATTGAGTATCGTGCCACCGCGTGACGCCGTGGCAACGGCGAAACGCGTGGTATCGGCGCTGCAGTCAGAGAAGTGTAAGAGCGAGAGGAGGGAGAAGGGGAAGGACGCGGTGTGGTATTTGGATCTGAATGCTATTAGTCCGGGCACAGTGAGGGGGGTAGCGGGACTGTTTGAGCAGAACGAGAAGGGTGTTGTGTTTGTAGACGGGGGCATTATCGGTGGCCCACCAGCGCCGCCGCCGTCACAGACAGAACAGAGTGCTTGGACAAGACCCGGTATCCCCCTATCGGGACCTCATCCCCTGGACTCTGCACCCGTTTCCGGTGCCCATCTAGCTGAAGTACTCAACACGCGGTATCTCGGTGGGGAAGTCGGGACAGCGTCGGGGCTGAAATGCTGTTTCGCGGCGCTGTCAAAGGGGTTTACGGCGTTGGCGCTGCAGTCTTTCTCGTCGGCGGAGTCGCTGGGTGTGCTGGATCCGTTGCGTGAGTATCTTGATGTGTACAACCCTGGTGCCAGGCAAAAGGCGGAAAAGAGTGTGGTGGGGTGTACTGGGAAGGCTTATCGGTGGGTGGAGGAGATGATGCAAATTGGTGAGTGTTTTCGAACGGAAGGTGGGAGGGCGGGTGAGGCGAGTGTGTTCAGGGAGATTGCCGGCGTGTTTAATGGATTGGCTGATGTTGTGGAGAGGAACGGGAAGGAGGAGATGGGGAGTGTGGAGGGCGTCGTTGGAGCGCTGTTGAAGGATCAGAAGAACAAGAAGAGTTAGTGGGAGCGTATGTCTCCTGTTTTGGTGGTGCGCAGATGCAGTCTTTCTGCATAGACGCGCGTTGTCACATTAGGCTTGGTCATTAGATGTATCGAGATTGGAACTCCATACCTCCGCGCTATGCTACCTAACAGAATCATGGTCATCAATTTAACATAAATCATGCCCTCCGAGCATTACGGCCATCACCATACGCCAATGTGCGTCCCATGTCCATTACCGTACTCGATCCCGCCGCACTACTACCGCTGACACCCCTCTTGTGCCCAGCATCCATACTGCTCCTTCCTTCAACCAGCGCCCTTCGTCCATCGACGCTCTGTCCAACGAGCCTACCACTGAATTGATGCCAGCAATTGGGCGCTTGGAGGATGTACTTTTCCATCGCAATCCTAAATCTGTTCCTGTAGTCACGCGGTGACGTGATGGTAGGCTTGTTCTTGCCACGATCCTTGATCCAGCTCTCTAGCTTCTTGTCCCAGGTGTAGGTGCGAATGCAGTCGATAATGCCTACGATGATCTCGCGTTGTGTGTCATCGAACCCTGCCATGAGAGAGTAGTCCATAACGTTGTTCTGTGATAGGAAAAGCGTATCGTTGAACACACTTGCTTTGAGCAACTTCTTGGTGTGCTCACGGACGAAGATCGGTGTCTCAGAGTAGATGATGTCAACAAGATTCTCGTCGAGAAGAACTTCATCTCGTTCGCCAGTGGCTTGAATCTTGCGATTGCGCATACTGCCCTTGAGATCGTAGCGGCGATTCGGTTCGCGATCGTAGAATAGGTTCTCCATAACAAGCATGTACCAGTCAAAGTCACGACCGGTAGGTGTCTTGATCTGGACTTGGAAAAGGCCAAACATCTTGGCGATGACGCTGGGTAGCGATTTGAAGAGATTCTGGTGCGTAAAGGCAAAGTAGTTGGGGCCGAACTTGAAGAATGCTTGAACTTCGACTGGAGAGAGTGACTTTAGGACGAATCGGTCGTCGAGGGTCTTCAGAAAGATTGACTTGGATTTCCCGCCCTTAGAATCCCATTTCGAACAGCGGGAGAGGGACTCCACAAACCGTTCTGCCACACCGCATTTGCGGCGGAGTGCATCGAAAGATTGGGCGTAGAATATCTTGCAGTGCGCCTTTACCCCGCGATTGGTAAAACTGTAGCGGATGTTGTGGTTTTCTTCATGCAGCAGGTTTCGTTCGACTGACTCTTCAAATGTTTCCATAACGCCATCACTTGAAGTAAAATCGCGGAAAGTTTGTCGTTTGGCAACATAATCGGGACACGAAAGCGCCAATGCGATGATGGAACTGGGTTCGTCTTCCCGGATGATGATATCCGAGTTCTCCCAGACGTGCTCGATCTGTGAGAATGGATATTCAAGCGGTGTCCATCCACTTGCTGATCGCTCGGACCAGAAACTGGTAAGAATCTTGAGTAACGTGTTCTTCTCATGTTTGGGGAGCTCAAGAGAGTTTTCCAGCTGCGAGTCACTTAGACTCAGAAGCTGAGAACCTGCGAGGCTTTCCGGTAGAGGAATGTCTTCTGGCGTCGTCTCCGTATCACTGATGTCATTCTCGGGATCTGATGGGAAGTGGCTTGGCGACTTGGGTGACTCATCGCTGCTGGGAAGTTGGGCCATTTCATCATGAGGGTGTCGCCTCTCCACCGGTGATTGTGACGCTGTTGTGTCACCTGTGTGCTCTGTGAAAGTGCTGTCGCCAAGTGTACTGTTGTCTAGACTCGCCCGAGGAGGAGTTGGAGTACGCAGATCTTCATCAGAATCTTCATTCTCTTGTACAGCGTCATGAACGTTTTTGTACACCTCAACAACCGGCTTAGAGGAGGCGAGTGGGAACGCGCGCACTTGCCTAGCTCGATCATTACGTCTCTCGCGCATACGCTGGTTCTGAAATTCTCGTGACAGCTGTTCGAAATGCTGCGCAATCTTCGATACCTTGTTTTGGCTCTTGTAAGGTATCGACCGAGGTATGCGAGATGAGGACTTGGGTTGCTTTGGGGTAGACAACCCTAGCCCAAGTCGTTCTGTCATACGCTCAAAAGCCTTTGTAGAGTCGTTGGAGTTCGGCTTCGGACTAGTGGGCCCGTTGTTGGAGACCGATGAGCCTGGGAAAGGGCCGATATGTTTAGCAATATTTCCAGGCTGAGATTGTGTTCTCACAAGTGCTGTTGGCCGGGCCGGCGTCTCACGTCGACCGGGCTCGACCAGCCGCGGGATTTTGCTTTCAGCTGTGATATTCGAAGCTGACGGCAATGGTGATGGGCTACTCGGCATGTTCTCAATCGCTTCAGCAAGCGACTTATCAATCGGATTTACCCTCGGAAGACTGGTAGGTGTAGGCGACCCTTCATCGTACTTGTTAGGATCAGAAGCAACAGTTGGTGTCTTGGTGAGTTCTTCGTTGCCGACTGCAGGTGTCTCAGGATAGTTGGAGGGCACTGCAAGATCCAAATGACGGACGTCTTCTCGTTCAAGTGCCTCTCGCGGGGTCTGGATTGGCAAATCTGAACTAGGCTTGGTCAGAGGGGGCGTGGTGGGTCCAGACGTCTGTTCTCCCCCATCCGCAGGCTGATCGCTAGTCGAACTCTCTTCTTTCACAACGGAGCTTAACATGTCGCGGGCCATTTCTGGTGACAGATTAGATGGTCTCGGCGATAACGCAATCGACTCATCCTTCTCATCAATGTAGGAATCGTCCGCACCTGATTCCCCGCCCTCGTCCACAGATGCCAAAGAGCTCGTAGACTCATCCCGCTCCAAGAATCTCTTCAGTTGCATGTTCGCATACCTCCTGATATCTCGCTCGGACGGGAAGAACTGCTGTTCAAACTCCAGGAAAGTCACATCCCAGGCGATTGCCTTTTCCTGAATGGCGCGAATGGCGCGATTCATGGGGATGATCTCGTAGTATTTGGAGTTCATGTACTTGTCTTGGAGTTTGGATTTCAGCCACTCGTGTTCCTCGTTCGCGCGTTTTAGAAGTATCTCAACTTCCTTGCGGCAAACATCCACCTTCTCTGGAATGACATCTTCGACATGTATCCCCTGGATGCGAGCGCGAAGCGAGTCCATGAAGCAGTCCAACTTCTCCTCGATCATCAGATATTGGCTATTCTTTAACCTTAGGTCGCTATCCACTTTCCAGGTCACATTCGGCTTGGGGGCGATGACCTCGTACATCGGTACGGGGTCATACTGTATACGCAGAGCAACATTGCTGTAGCCGAAGTAGCGGACGTGGTCCTTGTGAATGTCGTGGGGACATATACCCGCTCGTGGGTGCAGTTTGGTACTCCAGAAAGTCAACTCGAGGTATTTGGCAAAAGAGTATCTCCAACTCCACTCCGACATAGGAAAAGCTTGGGTTTCCTGGCCACATATTCTGCAACAGCTCCACATGAGAATGGTTTGATACATGCCTTTCAGCTTCGGTGGGTGCTTCTGGACAATGACCGTCATTTGACCCTCTCCATGCACATATTGCCGAGAATGATCGAGCATTCTCCGGTCGCAGTTGCCCACTTCACAAGCGACACTGGCTGAAGTGCACAGGTCTTCCACGTATTGGCCTAATGTGCAGTCTGGCGTGAAGCCGTCATCATAATCATGTTCTTGGTAAAAGCCAAGCGCAATGATTTCTGGGCCAATGCAGGGAGTCGAGGTCACAGTATTGACAACACTGTATAGTACGGCGATCTTCTGGTGGTTGAACGGGTCGTAAAGATCCGTGTTACCCGAGAGATACTGCTCCCACTGTCGCTTTTGTGTCAGGTACTGATTCAATGCCTTGTCGTATTCTGAGGCATGCACTGCAGATAGAAATTCCCGAACTTGCTTTGAAGCCTTCTCCACCACGGTGTGGACCATCTCGGGCTGTACGAGTTCGAACTTCTGGCCAATTTCACCGGGCTTTTCGTCACTTTCATCAGCAGTGTACTGGTTCTTGAGCTTCTTCAGATGACCAAGCTTTGCTTCGTATTGGCGGGCCTGTTCGAGCAGATAAGGTTGCATGAACTTGACGAATGGCGAAGAAGAGAGGATCTTTGTTCGGTGGTTTTCAACCATATCGCTATAGTAGGAGGGTGCAGCATCGCTGGATCGCAGGTCGTTTCCACCATGCAGCGCGTTAGTAGGATGGGAAGCGGTATCGTCTCCACCGCTTTGAGTGTGTGAGCCGTCTTGTTCTTGGCGGTCCAAGGCGAGAGTACCAGTAATAGAAGCTGTTGGTGTATCTATGAATTCGTCGCGCATCAGGCAAGTCTCGAGCCGAAGGTTGTACACGACATATGTCATGAACTCAGTAACGCGTTTCAACCTGACCAGGTTATGACTCTCGGCACCTCGTAGAACAATTGTGCAGCCGAGTTCTTTCTGACACCCAGACAAAAAGATGTAGGTTTTCCTCGCATTCTTGTGCACATAGGTCTTGACATCAAACCTGCCGCAAGACCCAAGATGGGTTGGGTCTATGGCCAACTTGTCGACGGATGAGATCATTTTCGAATTTGTGCATCGCGCGACGGCGTTCAGTACTGTAGGCTTGACGTTGTAGACTACGGCAATTCCCTCTTTCTCCAGAAATTCGAGTGCCAAGCCAGACACATTACGTTGTACGAGCAGGACGTGAGGTTGGAGAGCTGCGATACGACTTACGAGGTTACGAAGGTATTCCCGCTCCTGGGCAATGACGGGCTCGAGGCTCATGAAGTGTGTTTGGTGTCGCGCATACTCAATAGCGAAAGTGATGATGGCGATTCTTGGGTTGGGTATATTGCGCGGCATACTCCGCAGGGCAACGTTCTTGGTAAAGACCACTCCCGATACGTATGCGGTGTCCTTTGGCTTACCACCCGGGATCTTTTTCAACTTGATATAGTTCCTCACGTCGATGTCATCTCCTCTATCTACATCAGGATTGACGTCATCTGTACACTGTCGTAAGATCGGGATCAAGGCCTTTTCCCAACTGGACGCGTGCGGTACTCCAGCGTCATTCAACATCTGTATCAGGAGCTTTCGTGCATGATCCAGACTGGCCTTGTTGAGTTCGACCTTGGGTGTCATACCCTGCATTGATGCGCTACGGGTGATTCTCCCTCCGGGTGGTGTTGGTGAAGGGGACGGCTGGAGTTGTGGTGTTCCCGGTCCGCTACCGCCGTAGCCGGTATAAGGTCTTAACAGGGTGTTGCTTTTCGATCGCCTTGGGGAGGCGCGGTGAGTTATGCTGCTTACGCTCAGATTCCTTCGTCGGGACGGTCGATTTCCGTTGCGACTTGTGATGCTAATGTTATCTGCATCTCGAGCATGACCCGCGCCTATGACACTTCTATCACCAGCCCTTGACTTTCCTTTTCTCATGGCTGCCAACAGACCACCTAAACCACCCCTTTCATGGTCCAAATTCGCGCCAGCCGCAGGATCCTCTCTCAGAGTCGCGAAGATGCTGGCATGATCTTCTTCGCTTGAGCCCTCGTCCGACATGAAGGGAGCAAGATCTGGGTCGATGATGTTATCGTGGTGGAAGGCCGACAGGCTTGGTTGACTGCGTGAGTTATCGTGAAACTGATGGAAGGGCGCGCGATCGTCATGCTTGACATTACGCATGTGTTGGTGTTTGGAAGGGTGTCGTTTGTGGCTCGACGAACGGGGTCTCCCGCCCAGAGACCGCAGAGATCGCGACGAGCTCGGACGGGTCAAAGTTTGAGGACCAAGTTCTATGACATGTGACCGGCGTTTCTTTTCACTGCCCACCTTCCGAGACATGGGGATGCTGATGGTCGGTGTTCCGATCTTTGTATGATCACTCTCAACATGATCAGCTTCGTCATCGTCCGAGTACTGAGTCCTGTCCCCGTTGTCGTAAAGGGAACCTTGGTCGCCATCATCAGTGTAGTCGGACGAGTCATCGTCGTGGCCATATATGATACCCTCACACGGTTTGCACACCTTCAGGTTGCTTTGCTGTCCAAATATCTTACCTGACACGATAGACGTGCACTTGGAATCGAAGATTTGCCCACATGTACGGCAGTGATGCTTACGTCTGAAAGTAGTGAAAGCATCACCGCAGCTGAAACAAGCTTTAGCATTCTCGTCTCGCATCCAAAACTCGCGGTCTAGGATCTTTCTTCGCATTTGAGTAAAGGTACTTCTTGACATGTTGTGTACCGCAGGCGCAGCCTGGGCTTGTCGCTGAATCTCTTCGATAGGCGCAACAGCAGGAGTGCGTATCGTGGAAGTTGTGATGATAGAGCTCAACCCGTCAGAAGAAGAGGCCCTGGAAGGCCGGTAGCCTGGGAGGTGTGAAGGACCGACATGGAGCATGGGGGGACGCTGCGGCTCCGGTGCGTGTATAGTAGTTTGGGAGCTAGCGGTGTTGTTGCGACCGAGTTGAATCCTCTCTGGGGACTTCTCAGGCTGTTCCCTTGGCTTGTTAGGCGCAGAGCGGGTGGGTTGATATTGGCTGTCGGCGCGGGAGCTGACCCTGCTCAGACTTTCGCGCGGGGTGTCTGACCCGGCCTTGAAAGTCACGCTATCACCCGCTTGACCTTCGCCTTTCACGAGCACCATATCATCGTCATCGGTATCGTCACTCTCCTGACCTGCAAGGTCAAAGTCGCCCTTCTGTCTCCTAGCAACGTTGTCCCGGTTTGGAGCGAAGCGCGGGGAATCTAGCCGTTGGGCTCCTAGCGCAGGATCTCTCGGTGTGTTGCTTCTTGGTAAGTCGATGGTGGAGGTGCTCTGGCTCCTAGAGTGGGGGCCCATAGGGCTCAGAATCGAGGATTCGTCGTGTTTTGCTGTATGCCCCGTGTCGACGCTCGGGGTCATTGAGTTCCGGGACCGTGCAGTACCGAGGGAAGCCTTAGACGCGTTCATGGACGTCTTACTGGAGAGCGTGGTACTAGATATATTGGAGTCGCGGGAGGGAGGCAGGGCGTCGGGGAAGTTGGCTGTTGCTGGAGATTGCATGCGCGACGACGGCCTAGAGGTGACAACGGGTGAGGACACGGAAGTCCCCCCTGGGCTTCGAGTGACAGCCGCTGACTTGGAGGCCGGCGAAGTCCCGCTCCTGCCATCTTGTGATTGTTCTCTGACGCCTCCTACAGAAGCTCTCAGGCGACTGTACAGTCCACTGAAGCCACCCTGTACCAAGTCTATGCCTTTGGGCTCACCAACTGAGCTCGGGGCCGGTGGCACGGTGAAGTCGTCGAAGGTGGTAAGCGTGTCGGAGCGTGATGCCTGGGCATGCATTTGGTAGAGCGAAGGCGGCTGCAACGAGCCCCGCCGCGAGTCTCTGGACATGGCTGCCGTCAGAAGAATTGCAGTCTGCGGGTGCAGTAGGGAGTATCAAGTGTGTCCAGACGGATCAGCGTCCGACAGTGGCCTGTGGTGAACAGCATCAGGCTTCAGGTGGGATCATGCCTAGGTAGTCTGGCGGACAGCGAGATGGAGTCGAGGATGGCGGATGATTCGTTACACGTGTGTTGCTTCGGCTTCATGGGAATGAGGAAGAAGATTCCAGGCGCCGACAGTAGTCAGCTACGACGGCACTGGCAGCTGGAGCATCACGAGGTGCATACAGCTAGCTAGGCATGCAGGAAACGCGGCGGGCCATGACGCGCAGCCGCCAAGGAATTCCGCTCGCTGTTCCGCCCCCACGTCCCTCGGCATGAATTCATGCCCTCCAGCCACGAGATGCAGCCGCCGTGAATGGTGGTCCAAGATCAAACGCGCCTGGCTGGACGAGTGAAGCATCAGCCGCTATTCTCAGTTAGACAGGACTCTATTATGTTCTCTCCACGAGTCCCCACACGGCTTGTTGTTCCTCCTCCCCGCACATCTCGCCGGGACCAGAACGCGTCGCGTCTCCCACTGGCGCCGCGACATCCCATTGCATGGCCCTTCGCCTCAGCGCCTGGCTTGAAGAAACGTTCGAGTCCCAGCTGCTGCTAGGCAACCAGTGGCTCCAGGACACCTTTGAGAAGAAGCGGTCTGGCGTTAGAGCCCAATTGCACAGGCAGTGGGACGTGTACCACGATAACGGATCGTCTCTGGATATCATCAACTACGTCCACTCTGACCGCAACAGCGCACTGTTGGTACTCAAGGCAGGTGATAATGCGCCCATCGCTGCTGCTACGTCTAACGTCACTTGTACCAGGTCGCGCCTCTCACGCTTACCGACGGCCAAGTTCAGATCCTCTCCCAATTCACGCCCGACTGCGCTCGGAACTTCCTCCAGGAATTCCCCGCGCTATCGCACCTGTCCATCGGCACCACAGTAGCCGTCCGCACCTTCACTATCCGCCTCACCTCGTACGGCCCGCCGCGCGAAAGACTGCGCCTGATACTAGATCGGATCGATTGGCTGGGCGATAACCACGAACGGGTACAGAATCTGGAGCGTGAGAGTCTGAGGCCACTGCATGCTTGCGAGCACATTGGTGTCTTGCTAGAGCAGCTGCGCAGTATCCGCGAGCGAGAAGACCGCCGATGCTTGGCATCTGGTGCTGAGGAAACGGACGTAGAAGCAGTCGACGACGCTACGGGGGATAACATGGGTTCAGATGGGAACATGCCGCATGGCAACGAGCTCCAATCACAGATGATGGGCACTCAGCTGCCATTTGGAACACAACTGCCTCTCCCATCCCGTCCTCATGCAGGCAACGAGGAGCCACAGGTCATAGGAGTGAACCGGCTGGAGCCAGTCCTAGGCGGTAACACCCAGCGAAAAGAGATACGGCCAGGTGCTGCTAGCACAGACTACGAGAAACGTCAAGAAATGCTGCTGGATCTTCTCGGTAAAGGTTCCAATTCCAACGCCCGCAAACCTGAGGCGACCTCGGCGAACAGTTTCGTGCAGTCAGCTTTCGGTAAGCAAAGTGACAATACGTCAACTGTAGATGAATCTCTCGAAGCACCGTCAGATGCATTGCAGCAACAGTCAAGAAGGTCCGAACCAGAAGCCGGGAACGAAGATCCCTCGCCATCTGTGTCCAATCATGGGAGGAAGAGAGTCAAGAGGGTCCGCGAGATATCGCCCGAACCTGCAAAAGCTACCGAAGACGTTCGAACCGAGGAGCAAACCATTGAACAAAGTCTGATTGAGGATGACAATGAGACAATGCCTCCGTGCTCTTGGATGGCAGACTTGATCTTCAATAGCGAGACGCTAAAGGTACCTAGAATCCAGCGGAACTGTCTGGACAGGGAAACCAGTTGGCTAAAACCTCAACCCGGGGTTCAGCCTTTCCAGGCTGGAAACATGCCGCAATCAATACTCATGGCTTGTCATCGGATGGCTGACGAGAGAGCTGGCGCTGAAACTGACGATGAATCGGACCCAGATCCGTCTGCAGAGACTGTCGATCCATCGCCCGAGTCTCTGCCCCAAAAGACGCAAGATGATGAACCTACCTTTACCAAAAATGACAGATCTGCGAGGACAAAAGATGATGAGCCCGTGACTACTCAAGACGACAGTGATGCCGGTAGGGAGAGGTCCTGGAGCACGTCTCCGGAGCCTCCACCACGTCCAGCAAGAGTCCATCAAGAACTTCCTCCTGACTCAAGCATCGAGAAGCCCGCATCTCATTCAGAACAGGATTCTGCGTCACAGCCAATGTCCGCCAGCAAGCAGTCACAAAATCGTTCTGTCGTCGAGATTTCAGATGACGACGAGCCAACTGGTCCATCATCCTCGCCACCCGTTCCAGCTGCACCCGCAGATTCTGACGATGAAATGAACATGGAAGAATCCGTTCCACAAGCCTTGGGCGAAGATCTTACACGGCACAGAAGAGAGACATCGGCAATCGGGAAGGCTCCAAAGTCTGATCCCTTGCGGTCGCCTGTAGTTGTTCAGGTGAAAGAAACTCCATATGGAAAAGGCAAGAATGCCCCAGGCGCCCAAAGCTCAAGCGGCGAGCCAAAACAACAATCATCTACATCGATAGTTCATAGTACATACGATACGCCTAGTCTCTCTGATCTTGCCGAGCTTGGGGTCATGCAAAGTTCAGGCGACAAGCACAAGGGAGTTGAAGTACCTAGCAGTGTACCCCAAGGCCCCAACGGCGATGACGCTGGAGACATAGAGATGCTAGACCATATCCCAGACGCACAAGATCTCAATGGCAAGACGGCTGCTGCACAGCCATCGCAACACAGGCTAGATCAAGGGACGAAGTCCACATCTTTCTCCCATGCAACGACCAAATCTACGCATCTATCGCCGGAAAACCGTGGCGTACAGTCATCACCGGCAGTACCTCACCTCGCTTCACAATCCACCAAGCGCAAGCTTATTAGTTCGCCGACCAAGAGCAAACGTCGACAATCTAAGAGACGCGAAATCAAGATTGTCGGGTTTGGAGACGAGGCTCCGTCTGCAATCGACCCAGTGGCTGCGTTACTCAAAGAACGAGACGATTCTCTACGCAGATGGCGGGAGCAACGTAATTCTAGCACAAGCTTTGACAGTCGACCTGAGACTACGAGCAGATTTGCTACGGAAGATTCAGACGCAATGGATATTGACGGTGCTGTGAAAGTGGAGAAAAAGGAGCCATCGCCCAGCATGTCCCCTCGGCACCAGGATCTATATGACGAACCGAGTCCTAGACAAGTAAAGCCCGCTGCAAACCCAGCTTCCCAGCCGCCCACAACACATCCTCAGTCACAAGGCCGCTCCCGTGACAATCGACCTCGTGGTCCCGTTCCGATACATATGCAACCTCCACCAGCATCTTCAAAGCAAGTAGACCAAGATGATGTCCAAACCGTCTTCCAGTCCTTCAAGTCCGCCTATCCGCAATATGATGGTGATGAGAAGCACTTTCGAAACCAATGCACGCAGATGTATCAACTGGAACAAGAAGACAAGATGGTACCGAAATGGCAGTGGGACGACTTCATCATACGGAACAGGACAGACTACAGGCAATATGCCATGGACTGCATTGGCCAAGGGGAAGATCCGGAGCCATACCATCGCTTCTACAAGAACGACATCCGCGACACCTTGTACAAAGAGGGCATTATCGGTAACACCAAGACGCTGCAAAGGGCACTAGAGGAGCTTAGTGGTGGTTCAGCTGCAAAAATGGCCGAGCTTAAACCGGTCGTTCAATCTGCTCCGAAGCCAAAACCAGTAAGGAAGTCACTGCCAGGTTCTTTCAACCAGCCCAAGAAACCCACACATGACCGCGTCAACAACGCCCACTCCCGTCCGCGCCAGTCCCTTCCTGCAGACCCGCGTCCTCACGCCCAAAGCCCTCTCCGACCCAGCTCGCCCTCATCCGGATCCTCATCACGGCCCCAGCCACGCCCACCAAATCCCACGAAACGGGTACCCTCTACAACCCGGCCTCCACGCCAGCCTTCCAACAACCCCCCTCCCGATACCACCGCCCCAACCGACCCAGCCCCCACCACCACAAGCACCGGCGACAAATACCGCGACTTCGTCTTCGCCATGCAACGCAGCGCCTCCTGGACCGGCAGCACTGAAGTGAGTTCCACGCCCAAGGCTAAAAAGTGACAAGAGAACAATGGGCTAAGGTATGTGTGTTTCCTTTTTAGGTCGATCCAAAGAAACCGTGGCCACAGAGTCTGGCTGGTAGACCGAGTGTGGCTGATGCGCCGAGGAGCAAGGTTGATGTGCTGGATTGGGGGGATGTGTTGGGGAAGATGGGGTGGAGGGGTGGGAAGTGAGGGGGGGATGGATAGATTGGATTTGGATATGGCTTGAGAGGATTGGAAATGGTTCGAGGTGGCTTGGGCTGGGTGGATGACGTGTGTTGGGGTATCCTGGATTCTCGTTTTGTTAGAAAGAGCTTGAATATGGTACCATGAGACAGAGGCATTACTAGCACGATTCGAGCAACTATACATTAGCGACCACAACGTCGCAAGCAATTCCACAGATTTACGCGGAGTATTCCTTTGTGATGCAAGCGCTGAGAACTATGTGTGCAATCGTTCGATTACCAATATCATTGCAAGAGGGTATATGCTCCCCGCCTCGTCCATATCCGACCTAATAGCCAGTGAAGCCCCGTCAAACGCCTTGTTACCATCCTATTCATACACATACCATACATATGCCGTCACCACACGCCAGCCCTAAGCTCCCGGTGCCGACGTCCTCCACCTCCTAACACCCTGCAACCCACTGACACCCACCGTAACCACGAGAAGCAGTGCATTGAACCCAGCCATCATATAGAACGGCGCACCAGGTCCAGTGCTATCGAATAACGCACCACCCGCTTTGGTCAGCAGCAAGATACCAAAGCCACCAAGCAGACTGTACGTGCCCGCTATCGAGCCTTTGATATGGTTATGCGACGATGTTCGTCTCGACGCAGAGGCCGAGCGGGAAGATTGTATGTGTTCTGGAAGCAAAGGAGCGTTTTCGTCCAGAGGGGTGATGGGCGCGCTGTGTGGTGGTGTGGCGCCTGCAGATGGATGCGACGTTGTTCCAATGGATGCGGAAGCCGAGTTGTGGAGATCTGTCGCGGAGCTGTGTTCGTCGTTGTTGATGCCACGGCCGAGGAGGGCGAGGGAGCAAACGATGGCGCCGATCTGACTGATGCCTAGTAAAGCTACGATGAAGAAGATCGCGCCTGTGCCGTCTTCGCTCTTGTAGTCTGGGCTCGTGAGCGATCCGAAGGCTGAATAGCCTGCTATGCCAGATACAGCTGCTACTAGCAAGGGAATGTTGTATCGTGGGAATCGACCGGAAAGGTAGCCGAAGAGGGGTGCGGACATGAGTGCTATGAGCTGGCTGATGCCTGTTAACATCGCTGCAAGTTTGTAGGCTTCAGGACAAGCGACTTTGATGTCTGAGGGAATGTTGGAATCGACTTTGCAGCGGCCGGTCTGTAGAAAGTAGTGGTTTGTGAAGAGAGGGATGAAGAGCGATATAGCGACTGAAGATGCGCGCGCGACGAATCCTCCGACGTAGCCAAGTCCGATGTTTGGAGAGGTGAAGCCGAGACGGACACTTTCCAGGAAGAGACCAGGGTATGATAGTACGACGTCGCGCGTCAGATGAGAGTCTACGTCTTTGTAGTCGCCTCTGCTGGTAAGGCGCTTCCAGCCTTTCGCTTCTTCGCCAGGTAGTTGGCGCAAGCCGAAGAAACAGCCCAGTGCCACAAGAAAAGCGATGGCCCCTACGACGTAGAAAGCGTCTGCTACAGCTGTTGCGGGACGCTCACCGGCATTTTGGAACTGTGTTGGCAGAGGTAGGAAGACGAACAGCGCGACTAAAGCGCCGCAGCCTGTGAACATGCCCACCAAACCAGCAAGCTGTGACGTAGATGCGCCCGAATTCTTCTTCGCGGGTGTGTCTTGTGTATGATCTTCCGGAGAGTTGGAGCGGAAACGGGCGGGCGTAATCGTGAGTTCGGACGATATCGAAGCAGCTGGCGCATGCGACCTGCCACGGCTACGCGTCGGCGATCGCGGATCGGGTTTGACATCCTTGACGAGAGTCATCGAGGGCAGAATCGCCGTCACCATAGTCGCGCTGTTCAAATATCAGCCTCAGCAGCCTGTGCAAACAACCCAACTTCTCGAAACTTACGTAGCACTTCCACCCAAACTGAACAGCACTCTCGCAAGCAACAGCTCCGGATACACATTCCGCGCCTGCACAAGAACCCATAGCGCGACACCTACAATACTGTATCCCATAACCGCAACACTCCTCACACCCACGCGGTCGCTCAGCAATCCCCACGCTGGACACGCAACAAGCGCTACCAGCTCATCCACAAACCCCAGCGTGCCGACCGCATCGCCGACATTGCGCGATTGGCCGATGCGCTGTGTGATGACAAAGGATATAGAGCTATTGAGGAAGACGAGGAAGCTTATGCTGAAGAGCGCCACGCCGAAGAGGTACGATGCGATCTGCGTGCGCGTGGCGGTGAATTGGAGGCCGAACATGATTGCGCGATTCGTGCTCGCGGTGAGCTTAGCAGGACTATCGTGGGCGCATTGAGATGTCGTGTGGTGTTTGTGGAAGGGCGATGTCGCGTTGCGGCCGTTCGGTCCGAAGATGCGTGATGTCAGAGCTGTGGCTGGAGGGTGTGGCGGCAGACTGGTCTCATCACGTGTGCAGCGTCTCACCCAGAACGTGTCCGCACTCAGTCCAACGCCGTCCAGGCTGTGATGGCCAGCAACGAAAGAGCCAAGTCTAGAGTAAGCTGCAACGTGCTTTACGCATTCGCCCGATGCATGCCAACATGTGTCAGTTGTCAGGCGAGGGTCTTCTTACTCCATGGATCAACTCATGCAAGCCGTGCCATTATTGATTACTTTTCGTATTGGGTATTGAAGCTCTAAGTAAAGGAGACACGTGGTATATACTAAGGAAAGCTGGTAACTGATGCCCAGATCATAACAACGTAGCGACAGCGATAGCATCGCCTTCCCCCAGCCACGCGGGAGCAAGCTAAAGCTCAACCGCACCTGGGAGGCCAAAATCCCTCCAAACGAATTATTATTGTCGCCGTTATATACCCATGATCGGCGCTGTAGGGTCAGCACCGGCTCCCCGCACAAGGGTGAATAAGCCTGCATCTGCAGGGCTTGCAAATCACGAACAGCGTGTCTCAAACTTTGGCCCAGCCCAAAGGCATATCACGTCCCTGGTTTGCACCCCAGTATCCCCTCGCTTCGGGATAGTCACCTTTTTCGACGCCTTCCCTGAAGAGGTCGCGGACCGTGTCTATTCGCACCGTGTCGCGGGGCTTGAGATCAAATTTGAAGGGAATAGGCTTCGCGATGAGCAGGATGGAGTAGTCGAGTGTTGGGTCTTCAGGCTTTTTGGTGATGTCGCCCCATTCCAGAGGCTGACTAGTCGGCTCAGCGGGCTTTGACTTCTCCAGTGTTGCGTCGTTCGTTGGCCTAGATCCAGGGTATGTGAACTTGGCAAGGATCTTTTCTGCCATGGTTGGCTCAGTTGTGTTGAGACCTGCGTTGAGCTCCTCATGTGACACGGTGGCCTTCTCATTCATGCCAATCGTATGTTCCGCCCTCATGGGGCTCATGGCCGGCATGATGATGGAATCGCCCGATGACTTCTTGATGTCGAACAACCACGCAATAGCGCCAATGCCAATCAGTAGATCCTCATCTGCAACGGCTTGCCCTGTGCAAGTCCTCCGGCCGTACCCGAACTGTGTCGAGTTGATGATAGTTGGATATTGAGAAAGAGGCTCTTGGTAGGTGGGGTATTCTGGTTTGATCCATCGAAGAGGGTTGAAGGTTTCTGGATCTGGGTATAGATCAGGGTCGCGGGAGATCGCCCTAAGGAAGCATGTCAGAATAGTTTACATCAGTCAGGATACATGTGAACTTACCACTCCAAAGGATGAATGGTACTGCCCTTGGGAATGTGATAGCCGTTGTACTCATCGTCCTGGATCAGGTAGTGGGGGATGCCAGTGGGGACTGGTGGGCGCCATCGAATGCACTCGCGAATGATGGCTCGCAAGAAAGGAAGATTGGGTCTATCTTCTGAACGTGGCATCCTGTCTCCACAGACACGATCGAGTTCCTCGTGTAACATCGGCAAGAACTGTGGATAGTGTGTCATGGCCAGACAAAACGTCTGCATTGGAGCGGCGATAGTGAGAGCTCCGGCGATACCGTGCATGCCAACAGCGTATGCGCCTTCGGTATCGGATTTGAAACCCCATTTGCTGCGACCATCCAGGAAGGTTTTCATCCATGATGGGGCTGCTTGTCCAGACTGCACATCGTTCACGACTTGTTCTTGCATGGTCTGGAACCATGTTCGCTCAGTGGTCGCGCGTCGCCTCTCCCAAGCCTTGGGTGGGGAGAGCCAGTCCGGCAGTGACATGAGGAATGGAAGCTTGTTGCTCAGAGAACCAGTGGGCGAGACACCAATGAGAAGTTCGCGTGCGCGTTGCTTCAGCTCGTCACTACCTTCGCTGTGGCCCCAGGCCAGTCGACAGGTGACTCGAGAGATGAATGACTCAAGGATGTTGTTGTATTGATCAGGTGCGTCCAGTAGCTCGGCCAACATGCGTGTTGATTCCATTTCAGGGTATCGATGGAACGCAGCCTTTTCCGATTCACGCATGATGATGTTCGCAAACTTTCGTTGACGAGTATGGCCCTCTGGAAAGCGTTAGACACTGTGGTATTAGGCGTTTATGAATGTGACTTACCGTTTCGACTGAGAAGCGGAAGATATTGCGCGCTTGAACGGTTGTCGTCGATCAAAGAGGGAATATGCGGTCGATCGGAGTAGATGGCCGCTTTTTTCGAAAGCAAGTCCTTTGCAATCTGATCGCTAGATATCCAGACATGGTTATGGCCAGCCAGGTCGCATTGATAGATCGGGCCATATTGCTTGCCCCAATCCGCGAACTTGATGAAACCGTTCTTCTCAGGCACCTCAGGTACTGAGCCGAGGATGGGGTAGCCTAGTATATGTTGGTTAGTCAAGTTGCTTTTATGATCATCAGGGTCCAGCAGTAGACCTTCGCCTATGCGATGTGACGGAGAAATAAGATCCATACCTTTGGGTCCTGGTAGAGGCTTTAGGCCTGTCGGTATTCTATGACGACGAGATGAATCCCAGTACCTGTAGAGTGCATATGCACCCAGAACAGCTACCGCTAGTAATATTGAAGGAAGCCCCATAATGGCAAACGGTCCGTAAGAAAAGAAATCACACCCAGCGTGACGAGGACCAAGAAGTTGGGTTACGAACGATGTGCAGCCTTAAGAAGAGATGCGGGTGCATGAGGCACTACATATAGCACCTGTAAGTTCCATGGCGGGAGGGTCACTGCCTGAGCATGTAAGCCTACTCCTGTGGATAGTTTCGAGTACCGATATTCCGTGCGCAGCTACGGGACGCTGCGTGTCAGAGCCGAGAGAGTGGATCATGTCCTCTAACAAGCATGACGCCTGGTGATTACAAAAAGTAGCCTCGCTTGTTTGACCAGCTCACTGGTCTGCAAGGACCACGAGTTTTCTGGCTGCGCTGAGTATGCAGCATCAGTGCCAAGGCAGGCATAGTATGTGAATCCTCCGCGACCGTTTTCGTCTAGCTTGCTTAGGACCAAGCTGATAAGGAACACCCTGAGGAAAGTTCCAGGGCGATCGCTGAGAGCTGCAGTATTGGAACGGTGTACATCGACGATGTTCCTTTCCGGATCGTTCTGGGCAACTTGCTGTCCTGGTCACCGGTAAATGACTGACTCGTCAGACGTTCCGAAGATAGTCGCAAGAAGACAATTTGTCAAGGCTAGAAAGCTGTTACTCTAAGGATGTTCTGCCTGAACTCAGTGAGCAGATACGGGTTGCATTGAACGTGTGACACTTTGCGAGAATTGCACATGCAATGTTGCCACCGGAGATCGCCAGGACATGGCAAGAGGTACAGCTGATGCTGGCTGGGTGGGCTGAACTGACGAGCTCGGCGATGAATCCGAAGGATGCGGCCGTCTTGGAAACACGAGTATTGTGACAGTTGGCTGTCGTGTGTCAGGATGATGATCGGTGCTGATGGTGTTGTTGCATATGGGGCTAATCTATTTTCAGAGGCCTCAAAAACCAATGATCGTCCGGCAGTCGTGCGGATCGCCCCATTTGCGACCATCAGCCTAAAGCCCCTGCTCGCTTCGCGTCCTCTTCCCAAAAGCGTCAACCCTGGATGTTATCTAAGTGAGGAGAGCCGACGTTGCAAGTCCGGCGCGCCTGAGATTTTCTGCCTTCCCTCCAACTTCACATAGAGGCTTCTCATCGCTCCTGCTCAGTCACGTCATATTGCCCTGCATTGGACCCTGAGCCTATTGTCTCACCCACGCCCAGGCGCAAAGCCTTCGTCGGCGACCGCGACTTCCTCCGCGCCGAAGTCTGCATATCTTCACGGTGGTGGCGTGTATGACAGAAACACCTGTCTCGAAGCAAAGTAAGATCGCTTTCGCTCCGTGCTCCTCAGGACAAGCATGAAGTCATTATGTTTGCGACATCACTCCTTGAAACGATAGATCAGTGTACTATTTGTAGTAATGATGGTGTTTCCACTAGGCATCGCGCAATTAGCTCACCCGCTGTTTTACCAGCAGTTCCCGGCTAGTGTGTACTCGTACTAGCCAGGTACCGACTTACTACAGCTGTCTCCGTAACTCTTTAGGCCAGTGCCGCTACGAACATCGTTCTATCACATAGCGGTTGCCGATATGCCGATATACTCATCAAAGACAGCCCCAACATGCTCACTTGCGTCGAATAATATGGCTTGAGCTCTGTGCCAAGTTCGCGGCGCACAACGGTCTCGCAGAACACACCACATCCGGATCGGCTGGCCCTCACTCGACGCGCAAACTCCAGATGTTTCGTCTACATAGGCGCAGATACCACGATCGAATCGCCACCTTCTCAGGGTAACATGGAAATGCACCTAGGCAACGAACTCCAGGTCGAAGTCAGCCCCACGAGTCGCTTGGTTCTACGGGCCCAACTGCAAAAATATACCAGAACCCCAACCAGAAAATTGCCAACCCACTGAATAGTGCGGCGGCTGAGGTGACGAATATCGTCACACGATGCTGACTCGAAGAGAACCGCTGCTCAGCATCTTCGAGCTTGCAGTCATTCCTGCGCGTCATGTACCCAACAACCAGGTTCCGATGAGTGTCAAGGCTAACTTTGGAACGAAACACCACGTCATGTGCACTGAGCTTATCACAATTTGCACGACCACAGGCATTACAACATCTCGAAGTTGCATAATCGTGCAGCTTCGAGAACGCTTAGGCTTCATCTCAAGTCCGTGTTTATGCAGGGTAATCTTTACATGTGCAGTATTACACATCTTGACCAAGTTTTGCTTTGCTTTGATGTCGCACTACCTTAGACACGACTTTAGGATATCATCCGACACGGAGCTGTGGAACGCGCGGCCCGACTTTTCCGTGGCCCATGACAATGTCACCTTCCAACGACATACCGCGATACGCAAGCTCGGATTCTACGGCGGTCGGGGAGCATCATCAACACAGCCTTCGGCGAGAACACGCGGCACACGATCAGCTACAGCTGCCATCCGCTATCAGCATGAATCTCTACCACACTAGGAAGTGATGCATCATGCTCTTTATCGGAACTCTTTCACCAAGCTCGTGGTGTTGCTAATACATGTGCTGCATCTTCTCTTCTTCGCGGGGATCTTTCTGCTGACCACTGACTCCGTTCGTGTCGTCTCCAGACCGCTGATATTGATCGTAGGGCTTAGAGTCACTTCCTCTACAGAAGTGATAGGCAAGGTAGTGACCGAGCGTAGTAATTCGCTCTCTGCAGCGGAGGCCACCTGATCGATCATTGGCGACCTAAAGACACAGTCGCTATCTTCTTACGCTATGCTTGTGACCATAATTCTCGTGGCTAATGCAAGGCGTGCAGACGTAGACTGTGAGCCCACATACTTACAAAATTCAAGCAATGGCTGTCGTCATGGTGGTAAATCGCCGCATGAATATCATGAACCAATGATTGCAGCCTGGTGTGCCCTTGCACCGCAGCATCGTGCGTCGCGGATGTCCGAACGTGTCTGTACAACATGTCGTCTGTCACCAATTCCATGTCTGGTTGTCGTCAAGGATACTCTTCCTTTCAATGCTCTTGAGGACAGCAAAGATAGCGCATACCACAGCGCTGTATTAGAATCCACTGACGTTCCAGTGATCTCCCGGTACGTCGCTTTTGAACTATGGGAGAGTAGAGAACTCCGTGCCTGGGCGTCCGTGTTAGACTGAGACACACATGAAGGTACATGTTATATGGAAGTTCTGTTTAGCAGCGCAGAAGACGGCCTAGTTCATCAGCGCTGTAAAAGAGTCATGTTTGGTAAGAAGACATGCACTTCCAGCAACCTGTCAGGGTTGAAGCACCAAATACTTATCTTCCACAAAAGTCCATTCAAGAGACATCAAATTGTCTTCCATACCCTCTGCAGATGAGGTAGAAGAAGGCCGCTGGATGTTTGGCGCGGTCATGTGCGAATCTGTATAGTCGTCTCATGCTTCCTGCATCGTGTCGAAGGCGCAAGTGCACTTCGACTTCACGCCTAGTACTGTTGTTCATGAGCGAGGCCACTAGACCTCGAAAGTATCGCGTCCAGAAGTATTCGGAAATATCAATCGCTTCTTCTGGGATGAACTTCAGGAAGAAACGACGACTAACGCTGCGAAAGGGTGTCAGGCGTGCCAGCGTGTGTTGCTCCGCACTTTATTCCGAAATCTTAGATAACTCCGAAACTTTGCATATCAGGCACTCGCACCTACAGAAAGAGAAGCTCGTCACTCTCACCAATCTTTTAATACAATGGCCGAATCACAGTATGTCATCCTCGAAGGTCTACCGACACCGCAAACGTATCACGATCTCCGAAAGCTCGCTGGGATGACACCCCCACCCATGGAAGCCGTACCCAAGTCACTCGCCAACTCCTTCTGCTGCATCGTCGGCTATGAGCGCAAACACATGGTTGATGACAAGACCCCGGCGCCGGGACAGGAAGCCATCGCGATGGGTCGTTTGGTCGGCGACGGGTCGCTGTTCCTCATCTTGGTGGACGTGGCAGTGCACCCAGATCACCAGCGCAAAGGACTGGGAAAGCGCATCATGCAGAAGCTTGTGGACTACGTGGATGAGCACGCACCGTCGGCATATGTGAGCCTTGTAGCTGAAGAGATGGCACAGAAACTCTACCCAATGTATGGCTTCAAAGATGTGGCGCCTAGTATTGGCATGTACAGGATGATTCGGGAACGGAAGCTTCAACAGGACATGGTGGAGGATACAGAAAAGGAAGCTTGAGGTCACGGGACCTGCTACCTCTTTAATTTCGATCCATCAACTTTGGTATGCAAGCCGTGGGAGTCAAAATGCAGTCCGAAGATGGTGGAGGTCGCGCCGGTCAAGTGCGAGGCTTTCACATGGCGAGGCAGCTGGGCAGGGGTTGGGTTTGTGGGGTGGCACCCCACCGATGGCGTCGATGCGCATCACTGCCCAGCCTTGACGAATTCACGCATCCAGCTCACAACACAACACTCGGAGGTCCCACGTGCGCAGTTGAATACCACAGCATACTCGCGCGATGCGCGTCTATGAGCACTTGTGATGCCTACATGTACTTCTCCAGACCGCATGATGTCCCCTTCCCCACCCGGCGTCAGGGCCGAAGAACGCCCACTTTCTGTATGTACAATGATACCCGTGGGCAGGCCTGGTCCGCTCTACACGTGCTATCTCCACAGTGCGCGCGTACTCGGCGTCTTCTACCCTTATCTACATTTGCGAAGATGAGCTAATTCGTTTTTAAGCTACAGTCCCTACCCAGCGAATTGCTCCAACTCATCGTTGCCTACCTCGACACCCCTGCGCTCAAACACGTCGCTCTAGTCTCCCAGACATTCCATCAGCATGCCACGGATCGATTGTGGCGTCATGTCTGCTTGGTCGACCAGTGGAAGCTGCACTTGAACGAAGAGACAGATAAAATATGG